CAATAATAATAATAAATGCCATTACCATTCTGCTTAGATCCAGGAGAGAGGGAAGCATCTTCAATCCTCTCACCTCACCTAGACTGTTTTCAAGGGAAGTCCTACAGAGAGTGCATAACAGTAATCTAGATGTGTGGTTACAACAGCATGCAGCATAATGGCATGGCTATTCAGATACAGGAACAGCCAGAGCCGACACACCAGCCTGAACTAGTAGCTATTCTTTGCCACACAAGCCTAAAGTGTTGGTCTTGGATCCAGGAGTATCCCCAGTCTGAACCTGCTCCTTCAGGGGAGTGCAACTCCAAGAAGAGGCTGTATACCCAATTCTTGGACCTGGAAACCACCAGCTGAAAGTTTAGTTTGGAAGGTCCCTGTGGGGAAAGTCTGAAGGCCAGAAGAAGAAAACAAGCATTTCCCCTTTCTTTGACTGCAGTAACCAAGTTTACTTTACTTTGTTTCAGTTTTGACAGTGTAAATCACTGAAGTTCAGACTCCTGTCAGATTGTCAGCAATCACAAAGCAGCTTCAGAAATGTGCACATAGTTAGTCATTACCTTGTCATTTTCTCACTATGACAAATGTATATAGGTTTGGATAGGCAAATCTGCCATGAGGTTGTACCAATTAATGCCCTGGAAGGAGCTTGAATTGTTTCACACAAAACTAATCACAGTTATTATGTGGTAAGTTAGGATTTCTGAAAACATGAAGTCACCATGTGCCAATAGTTTGCAACTGATCAAAAGGAATATATAAAATTTAAAGCAATTTTTCAAGCTGAATATATGAAAGGTTGCAGGTAGCAGGGGACTTATGTTGCTTAGATCATTCAGAATTAATGCAAACATATATTTAGCTTAACTCTCTCTGACAAGATTAGGTTAACTCTCTCTGGCAAATTAGGAATGGGCTCACCTAAAACAAGTGAATCTTAATTAAGCCCAAATTAAGTTGTTTTACACACAGGCCAATTCAAAATCAAAGGTCTCATCGAGCTCCCAAAGATGTCATCAGGAATATGAAATCCTCATTCCAACTTCCTCATGCCAATACACCCCTTCCAAGCTCATCATTCTGTTGCTCCCTTTCCTTTGTTTAAAAGTTACCTGATAGCAGCAAGGGATTGGGAGAGAAATTCGAACCTACTTAATTTGCACTTTCTGAAACAATATACAAACTGAAACAGAACCTTTGATATTTGTACTTCTCCAAAATTTGTAATGCAATTCTCCAGCCAGGTAATGTGTACCAAAATGCACTTACTGTGGTAAAGGTTGCATATGAGTGCTGACATAATGAAAACAGAATGCACAAATGCATGATATTATGGGAAATAGTATGTCCTGAACTCTTGGCCTACCTGGCAGCAAGTCAGTATGTCAAGTTCCCACTCCAGGGCCAATCCACAAGCCCAAAGTCCAAACTGAAGCACAGTCCCACAGAGATCCTGTAACATCCAAGCTAAGGACCATCAACATGAACAGTTGAGTAGACAAAGCACTTCTGCTCTCCTGCCCTTTGGTACTTTGCATGCTGATTGCAGCATCTGGGCTTGATGAGACATGAGACCATCACCTGTCTCAAGCCTACTTCAGCTGAGGAACCACACAACTCTTCCCAGAGCTAGCAACCTCACCTGGCCAGCTAGTGAGCTGGGCTGTGGGCCCTTGTCTGCTTCAGCCTTGTGGAGTGCCCCTCCCACTGCTCCCTATGCCTCAGAGCCTGCTGTGTTCTATGAGACAGGGTCCCCTCTGGCTCTGGGGATGGGTCCTGCTGCTCTGGTTCCTGTGCATGGACCTCCATCCCCTCGTCATCCTCCATCACAAACAAGATATGAAATGGAATCCTTCAAACAGAGGATTGACCTCAGTAAAGCAGAATAATGAGGGTTGCAGCAGCAGCCTTGGTTAATTTCTAGAACACTTGAGTAAGTTCTTGGCATCTGTAAGGATCCAGAATACCTAGCTGCTTCATGGCCTAATGAAAGCTAAAAGTGCAGCCCTGATCACTCTTGGCAGGTATGCTTTAGTAGAAAAGGTCTGCTGAAAGTGCAATATCAGTCAACCATAATCTTCAGAGACATGTGGTCTCAGCTTGTAATTAGATTGCTAGTTTCAATTCCCAGTTCCAAACTTCAACTGCATTACTATATGTGACAACTGCATCAACAGACTTCACCTGTATTGCTATCGGTGATACCTGTACCAGCAAAGATTTCAGTATATCATTCCAGAGATTAAACAGGGAATGAACGGTTGTCTGAAACCAACAGAGAGGTACTTAAAGAGCAGCAACGGGCAACATGAGACCTCCAGATGTTGTTGGATAGTTCTCTTACTATTGGCCAAGCTGGCTTGGGTTGATGGGAATTGGAGCCCAGCAACATCTGGCGGCCACTGGTTCCCAAAACTGCTACCACAGAAATACATTTGTGCTATAAAACCTTAGTCATAAAGTAGCAGTTATATTGGGCATGCCCAAGCTATAGCTAAGGTGTGTTTCTTCCCTTTCCATTATAAAAAATTCCCAATTTATATGCAGAAACTTTCAAGCTGAAACTTGATGGACAGATTAAGTACCAGAGACAAGTTTAGTATCTGAAAAATCTGAGTGACATGAAGATATATGGCCAGAGATTCAGGCAATGATTGAAGGAAGTTTACATCTAACTGAAGGTTTTTAAATTATGCCAATAAAGTATGTAAAGGAACAGGAGCATGTTCAGAGGCATTTCTGTGATGAAACCTTGTGTGTGCCTTGGAATCACAATAGTACCATGTCTTTTTGTGTGTGATGCACAAAAAGCTTAACAAATAATATATATTAATATTGGTATTGGCATGAGTTAGTTATTTGTTCAAAATGAAATGTTCGATTAAATTAGTTAATATTAACCAAATGGAGTAGATAATATGAAATCTCTTTCTTACCAATCAAAAGATGATTTACTAAAAATGCTACAACCTGGAAGTAAGCTCCACTGGATTCAGTAGGACTTACACCTGAGTAGACATTATATGCTTTCTTAGAATGAAGAAAAAATACTGTCATCCTGGCTATTTAGTGAGGTAACCCACACATTATTTCATGTTGAACAGTAAAGCACTCATGGATTGCTGTGCTCGTTCAGCATGAACAGTGCCCCACATGTTTATAACAAACTGCATTTGAAATAAAGCCTTGATTCTGTTAATGATTCTGTCATCTTTAACCACACCTTTAAACTCATCCTCATGTACCATGAAGAATGTATTGCTGATATTGCTGAGACTAGAACACATGATTAATAATAAATGCTTAAGGCTATTTTGACTGTGAGTCCTGGAAGACCTGCTCCCTGCTTTGCAGGCTTTTCCCTACCTGACCTGGGAGGGTAGGGCCCTCCAGCTAAAAAAGCTGGGGCTGCTGAACAGGCTGTTGGGTTGGAGTGTTTTGTTGGGGGAGGGGTTGTTGCTGTTGGTTTTTCCTATCTTTATTAAAGATCTTATTGTGATTTATGTGGAAATTGTTCAGTTCGGTTGTGTATTTTTGATGTTTTATTTATTGTTCATACCTACTTTTATTAGGTTGTAGTTATGTATTTTATTCATGTTGTAAGCCACCTTGAGCATGGTTTGAGCTGTGGGAAGTCAGCTTACAAATAAAATTATGTCTGTATCTATGTTAAGTGTTTTGCTGCTAGGGGGTTCTGGATGTGCTTAAAGGAGTTTTCCTGATCTTTATAACAGACTATACATTATCTTGTACTTGGGCCCTATAATAATTTATGATTACAAAGCACAAATGCACAGAAATAAAGAAGATTTAACATCAGATGAAAGGGGGGGTCGACGAAAAGTTGCTTGAAGGTATATAGGTTTGTTTCAGAGTCTGAAAACTTACTGAGTTAAAATGTTATCATAAAACACCTTTTAGTGAATAAACAAAAGTAATCCCTTTGAGTTGGATCCAATTTTTATTCATTTTATGCCCTATTAATGATCAGCTAACTAATGTAATGCTTCAGTTTGAGAAACATGATATACTGATGCACTATAAATTTAAAATCCCCTACTAGAGGTGCTTATGATAAAGCCCCTATTATTGTAATTCACTGTAATGCAGAGATGACATCTGATTACTTCAATAAAGAATGGGCTCTTTTGTTCAGTTTACACTCCGGCTTTGAAATCGCTTGGAAGAAAAGAGGGGAATAATGTCACACTGGAGGGCTCATGAACGCGAGTTTGATTTTCATTCACGAATATGGGACCCTGGGCTATTTTCTATTGAACTCCTAACTTTTATATCAAAGTTCCATTTCCATGTAATTTAGCAACAGATAGGGTTACGATCTTGGGTGTTCTGTGCAGCTACCAAGTAGTTCAAAGGATACGGCTCTCTGAGACTCAAAGGGTTGGATCCAAAGGGGATTTCTGTATCGTCGTTTCACCACTTTACACATTGTGCTGCATCAAGTGATATGTGCGCAAAAAGTGGCCCAGAATTGAGATCAGTTTCTCTGCTTGTACTTCCACGGGTGGAAAAATCAACACTGCTATTGAACTTGCCTATTGCCACATTGTATAAACCCTTGCATAAGCTGTTGCAAAACAGGACTACTGCTTGTTTTACTCCCTAGGCACGAACTGAGCACAGCAACTGTTTTACCACTTCTTCCTTATCCTCACATAGTGTACCATGAAGGCAGCATGTTCCAGCTAGACGCAAATAGTGCTACAAGAATGATCTTTGTGCTCATAAATTTTTCTGGAAAGCCTGGGAAGCTGGCCCTGTTGTATGTGATCCTGAGTATCATTGCAATAAAAGTTCTCATAGCTTCTCAATTGGTAGTTTCTGCATAGCAGAACACCCCCCTCTGTCTAAATTTAGTTTGCAGTTTTAAAACTATATGAGACAATAATAAAACTATACGAGGCAATAATAAACTGACTGCTTCCCACAAATTAAAGGATGAGCAGGATGCATGTGTGCTAAAGGTGCATGTATGGGCATCAGGTATCTTGCAGGTTTTCAAGGGGATGACTCTATACACTTTAACGATGTACTCTTATTCTTGTCTAAAGTGTATAGAGTCATCCCCTTGAAAACCAGCAAGATACCTGATGTCCATACATACGCCTTTAGCACACATACATCCTGCTCATCCTATAGTTTAACTAAACTATAGAATTCACCAGCACAGAATGTGGTGATAGCTACTAGGTCACTTAGGTCATGACTACTTAGGTCACTTGAAAAGGATCTGCCACTGGCCACTTGTCATGGCAGCTGCGTTCAACCTTTGTAAACCAGTTAATGGGGGACAACCATAAGAGAGGACTATTGTATTCATGGCCTGCTTGTGATATACCCAGAGGCATCTGGCTGGCCACTGGATGCTGCACTAGGGTAAGCCTTTAGTAGGATGCATAAGGAACCTTATTATGTTCTAACGCCATAACCTGAGTTATTTTGCTTGCTGTCTTTTCTGAAACACTTTTCCAGTTCAATTCTACCTCCAACTATATGGCTGTTTTGTAAAGCATTTGTAAAGTTTATCATTATTTATATAACTTGAATACATTTCTAACTAAAATATTAAAAAAATAATAATTCATACATTTGAAGTCAATATGTGATTTTAGAAATAATATTTTTAAAGATAAGGTTTTTGCTCTGTAGTATGTCCTGCAGTGTAAACATAAAGGAGACACAGATATCACAACAGCTACTTTTGGAAACAGAATCAAAGACCCTCAGAGTCTGTAGGTATCTCAAAAGCCATCTAGTCTAAAGCCCTGCCAATGCAGAAATCTAGTCTTTGTTGAAGGCAGGTTGTGTGAACCAGTGACTAGTGCATTTGGTGCCACCTCCGTTGTCATGGACTTGATCAAGGTGTAATCTTTTGACTCATCCAGCAATTAAAAGCTACATGGATGATCAAATGGGGAATGGAAAATGTTATTGGTCAAAATGTGGTTCTGGTAAAGTTAATGTCTTATGGAATATTCAGATTTATTGGGCAGTGTGAGGTTGGCATCACACTCATACAAATAAAAGGAAAGGGGAATATTGGTGGTAGATTGAAGCCAGGTTCCACCTTCCCTGGGCAGAAAGGCTCTTTCCACCATACAAAGCTTTGGATCCAGCAGATTGGGGGAGGGAATGTTTTTCAATCCCCCCCATGCTTTGTATACCCCAGTGCTATCTCCCACATTATTTTGGAAGCCCGCAACCCTGAGAGCAGGAGCAAAGTCTGGATCCAACCATCACTACACCATTCAGGATACAGGTTTATGTAACAGCAGCACTGAAAATGGGAGAAAGGATTTATTATCAAATTGCTTCCAAGAAGTATGGCAAATAGCATAATCGACTTGTTTGTTCATTTTTCAAACCAGTCCACATGTCTATATATGCTTTAAAAACAGAGACTAATCTCATGTACTTTTCATTAGCCTCATGCTAAATTAACATCATCTTGTTTGTTGAAATGCCCTAGGCGGTCATTTAATCCAAAATAGGTTCTAAGCCAAAACACCACTAGATAGCATCAGAATGGAAGAGCTCTGGCGGTTAATAGCATGGCCTTCAGTGGCAGGGCAGGAGCTGCCACTATGAGTGAATCAGCAACAACTATCTGTAATACAATATTCATGCCTAAAAAGCACAGAAATGAAATAGAAGCCTTCCATCTGCTGTTGTGTTCAATGCATCTGGTCCATGACCAACATAGCACAACACATGCATGCAGTTATTTGTGACAAAGGAGAGCAGAGGGAATTTCCTGGTCTGAATATTTTAGTATCTAACAAAAACACAACAAGGCTGTTTAAATGAATGCAGGAAGGTTTCTGGTGTGTTTGTATGCACCTTCCCTCTCAAATACCAGTAGTTTATTCATGCTAAATTCCAACTGTGATGTATTCATATTGTGTTTTCTTCACATTGACAGCTCAGTTTGGATCACCTATTCCTGATCTGTGTCAATATAGCTATAGAAATTAGAAAGCTGTTTGTTTGTTCATTTTTAAAACCAGTCCACATTTCTGTTTACATTTTGACACCTCTTCATAGATTCATATAACTGTGGAGTTGGAAGGAAACCAAGGGTTTCCAGCCCTCTGCAATTCAAGAATGTTTTTGGCCAATGTGGGGCTTGAACCCCTGGCCCAGAGATTAAGAGTCTCATATTCTACTGATTGAGCTATCCCACAGGCTCTTAAGAAATCTTAACCACATAGGTCAACTGGACTTTTTATATATTGTTTGAAAGGGACTAATGTATTTGAAACATGTAGGAAATGCAAGCATGGCTGCCAGTGTGGTGTAGTGGTTAAGAGTGGTAGACTCGTAATCTGGTGAACCAGGTTCGCGTCTCTGCTCCTCCACATGCAGCTGCTGGGTGACCTTGGGCTAGTCACACTTCTCTGAAGTATCTCAGCCCCACTCACCCCACAGAGTGTTTGTTGTGGGGGAGGAAGGGAAAGGAGAATGTTAGCCGCTTTGAGACTCCTTTGGGTAGTGATAAAGCAGGATATCAAATCCAAACTCCTCCTCCTCCTCCTCCTCCTCCTCCTCCTCCTCCTCCTCTTCTTCTTCTTCTTGATAGGCCAAGGTACGTGGGTGCACGTTGCTTGCATGTTTGCCAAACCTTTAAACATGACAATACAGACACAAAAACAGAGATGTGTCTGACTTGCAAGGCTAACATGGAGCCTACCTTTTGTGCAACATGAGAAGCAGTCCTTGCCTTGTATTTCTGGTCTTACATGTTTCCTAGTCATCTGGGTTAGTGCCTACCTACATTTGCAGTTTGGCATACGGCTCAAGGATATCTCTGTTTTTATCAACGGCGGTACTTGGTCATTAAAACTTACAGAATCCTGGGGGCAAAACTGGAGATTAGAAAACAAAGCTTCTTAGCAGAGATTTAAGGCAACAAAGACTTATAGCAAATGAGATTAGTTCTGCATTAACAATCTTGTCTGAACCTTTAAAAGTTCCACTGCTAATGCTGAGGCAGTCATTTCAGGCAAGAAATTCCTTGGTTCTTTTTATCGGTGAGGGAGCAAAAACCTTTCACCTGGGATGACATCTTAGCTCTACTAAACCCAACAGTGCAAAAATTTCCACTGGAATGTCAACTCTGAATATCCTGGTGGAATTATAGCCTATGAACTTCCACCTCTGAGCTACAATTGCATCTCCATAAAAACTAACGAAGACCAGCCTCTAAACAAGTCGTGCCAACTTTCATGGCACAATTTTGTCTTTTTACTACCAACATCAGCCTAGATGCCCCTCTACATGTTTTGGACTACAAGTCCCATCAGCCCCAGCCAACATGGAAGTGATCTGTAGTTCAAAACTTCTGGGGGGTGCACCAGGTTGGATGAGGCTGATCTAGGTTTTTTATAGCATGGAGGGAGCAGTTCAAAAGTTTAGTACCCTTGATTCCTTCTGTACAAACCTTTTAACAAGGACAAAAAATGTGCTACTAAATATGTGAACCACTTTATACACATAAGCATACACAGAGAGATATTTGGAGGGGGGGGGAGAGAGACTCTTTTAATGATTGGGATCCCACATTAGAAAAAAGCATATCAAACCACTACAATTCCAACTTTTTGACTTTTCATTTCAGACTCCAAAAGCAAAGTTGGCATCAAGGATAAGCATATAGTTGGGCATCGGCCAAAGGCCAAGACTCCAGCAAGGGGCACACTAACAACAGCACCCTCAGCTGCTGCAGTCCAGCTCACTGAGGGAAGAGGCCCCAGGAGGTTTCCAAAACCTGGAGATGACATTGCCAAAAGGAGAACTCAGTGACCAACATAGCAGATGAGGCCACTGAAAATGGTCCTAGCTCCAGAACTGTGAAGTTTCATCAAATGGAATGAAGCAGTGTTGTCTCACAATGGTCAAATTACTAAATAAGATAAGGAGAGCTTGTAGGATATGACCAATATCCCATCTAGTCTAGCAGTCCTGGTCTCTTGCTCTTCTGCTTTTAAGGCTAACTGGGTTCTGGGAGATGGAGGGTCTGAAATGCTTTCTAATGACACCATGTCAGCCAGCTGCCACTCCAGTTCTGCTTCCTCTCCCTCCTCTCCCATTATTTCCCAACTTTCTCTCTCATCTGCCTTTGAGCTGAGACTTCTCCCAAACCACTGTTGTAAATCTATACTGTCTTCCTCTTCCTCCTCCCTGGAAGGGTCAGGATGGGGAGGTGATCTTCACCATTCCTCCTCTGTCCAGTCCCTGACAATATGGGAAGCCCACAAGCAAGACCTGAGGCATCAAGGTCCTATGCAGTGTTTAGGGATGGTGTCTGATAAACAACAAAGCCTGCACAGTTCAGACACAGAGACTGAGAAGCTACTTTGTGATCCTTCCCCTGCCGCCACCAACGGACCATCTGCTTTTGCGTGCACTTCTCTCCCACATACAGCCATTGTGTGCCATATGCACAGTTCAATATTTGATTAAGAGCAAAATAAAAGCTTGTCATAGACCTAATTAGATATACATGCAACCAGATGATTGCTGTTATTAAGCAAAGCTGTCTTTAAAGGCTCTGGCTTAAACACCCAGCTCAATAAAAATCATACTTTTTCAAGTGTGCCCTGCAATTGCATTGTAAATTTTTTGAAAAGCATGCTAAGAAAAACCTTTTAAAGCTCTTTGTTACTTTCTGTAGCAGGTTATAAATAATTTCCTGCAGAGCCAGGTTAGGTAAGAGTAGTTTAGACTTAGCTTTAAAAATTTAAATGAACCCTTGAACATATTTAATGTTCAAAAGGTGCCCATGTTGCGCTATAACAGTGTACATTTTTGTGCAGTGAATTTTTTTCCATAATTTTCCAAGAAAAAATGCATAGCAGTGTAAATGTTGGCAAAATGGAATAAAGTGCTGTGTGACTGCAGCTGAGGTTCCAACTAGTTCACAGTTAAGTAAGGAGAAAGTTTCTATTGCATACCAGGCATGTTTCTTAAAGAGGTAGGCTGCATATAGAACACCCCCTCCCTCTCTTTGGCTTAACAATGAACAGCTAAACTTCTGGGTCAAAACATATTTCTGAGGTTTAGGGTCAGAGGCCCGAGCAAATGAATTTGGGGTAATATTGGAGGTTAGCCACCCAGGGTGTGTAGGGTTGAAACCTTAAATTCTCACCCCTGCAGAGTTTTGCTTTTGATAAAGAGACATCAGAGTTCAGTGTTACTTTCTGATATGAAGTATTTAACTGAGTGGTGAGGCAAATTTATTATTATTTTTAGAAATGTTCGTAGACCACTCTATTGCGAAACTCTCCAAGCTGTGCACAGCATAAAATTATAAATAAAACAGCTGAAATCCACATGACCATTTAACCCCCCCTCCCCAAATATACCGTATTTACTCAAATCTGCTGCTCACCTATTCTGGCCAAATTACGTTGCAAAAGTTAAGGTGTGCATTAAATTTGATGGCACATTTACATTCCCCAGCACATACTTTTTTTTATTTCAAGGTTCTGAAAATTGAGGTGCACATTAGATTTGATGGCACATTAGACTCGTGTAAATATTTCTCATAAAACAATTATGAATACAACACAAATAAGCTCATTAAAACTTAGAAACACACAATATAGATATATATAAAAAAAACCTGGATAGGTTTGCACAAGCATAAGGACATTTTAATGTAGTTATCCTTCATATTCTGACTTCAGGAGCAGAGTTGAGCCATGAAAATAGATTACAAGTCTAAACCCTGACATGACCCGGCACAAATTAAGTCCCAGCTGTTACTCATACAAAAAGCCCCTTAGGCATCTCTGCTTCAAGACTCTATAACAGAAGATGAGAAGGAGCAGTGCTGGAAGACATGGCCCCATTTGATTACTGTCTTTGCACCCTCCCTCTTTATAAATGCACTACAAGCAGTAATAAAACCAGTTTAGCTTTTGGTGTCCCCTTTTCCATCCCCCAAAGCACTTCAGCACACCCATCTCAATTATTACCTGTCGGGAAGATGTGAGAGAAGACAGTGGGACAATTTCTGACAGCGAGGAAGTGAGATTGCAAAATACAGAATGCTCACCATTACAAATCTGTTAGTATATTAAGAGCAGGGGGGATGGGGGATGACACAATGAATGGGAATGACTCAGGGAAAGCTCTGGAAGAGCTACATCAGCTTATGGTTGCCATACGTCTGGGGTTCCCCAGACATGTCCTCTTTTCAATGGCCAACATCTCCATCTGGGTTGTTGTTTTTTACAATTTACAAGAGATGTCTGTGGGTTTTGTTTGTTTTTTGTATATATGGCTGGCTCAACTGGGGATCAGGAGCCTTTCTGATCCCCAGTTGAGCCAGCCATATATGTGTGTGTGTGTGTGTGTGTGTGTGTGTGTGTGTCCCCTCTTTTTTGCTCTTCCAATTATGGCAACCTTACATTAGTTGGACCTTTGTGTGCCATCAACCCTCCATAAATGGGTGGAGTTATTCATTGGTGTAGAATAGGAAGACCAGGTGTAGAGGAAGGAGAGGAACATGAAGAGGAAGAGAGGGAAGAAGAAGAATGCAGGGAGCATGCATGCCTAATGGCAAAGGATGATGGGAGTTGTACTTCGGCAATATCTGGAGGTCCAAAGTCCTATACACTTTATATAACCTTTACCACTATGTCATATTTGCAATGAAAATGCCCCCCTGGAAACTATTTATCATGAGGTGAGAGGAGGGAACCAGATATTTGCACCCACAGTAGCTTCTGGTGTTGCAAACAATAGGAAGGTATTATTCGGCCTGTGTGTGTGCATTTAACATAATGGGTAGTTATCTTTCTTACAATTATGCCTCCTACCTACCTCTTACCCTCACCTCTCCTATATCTAGTTGAAAAGCTAAGACCCAATTCCATATATCATAAAATGGTTACATCTAGCATTTCAATGGCACCTGAATATACCCATTCCATTAACTGCAACATTATTCATTATATCCCCCCCCCTTTCCCTCTAAGTCACTGGGTTCTCTCTTGCCAGGTAAAATAACTGCATTTATATAATGTAGCAATTTAAAATATATGGTCTTTTAGGCAGTGATTCAGAAGTATGTGATTCAGATAATATCTCATTTTCTGCCATTTGGTTGATGATTTCAATGCGGTAGTTGCCTAATGAAGTCCACTCTGAGGTGAATGACTGCAAATGTGAATCCACTGCTT